AAAAACTATAGGAATCTGCATAGGGGTCCTTGAGTCTGTTGCAAAATACTAAACTGAGATGCATAAGAATAAACTCCATGAAGCCATAAAAGAACAACCAGGAGCTTAATTATGAGTGACAATTCTCCACTGGTTGTTCACATTTCCAGATACCTTGCAACCAGAGGTACTGCCTGCATTTCTTCTGGACTTTTTTTCCCCCCACAGATTATATAGCAAACTGCCTTGGAAGATAGAGATACTGTCTCTCTCAGGAACAAAGGGCAGACAAACTTTATTTCACGTTATAAAAGATTCCAGTTCCCTAAACTCAGGGTTCCCCTCCTTTACCACACTGTACTGCATGTGCAGATACTGCCCTGTCGAAACTGGGGCTCAGGAAGCTAGTGCAAATACTGAGACTCTCGCATCAGCTCCTCCCATGAGTAAGAAAGTTCTTTGTCTCTGACCCAGGAATCACATCTTGACATCCTTGAAACTATGGCAGACTAAGTTGTTATCTTGCAAGAAGGGTAAAAGCTCAGACCTTTCATAGTTTTGGACCATTTTAGTGATAAACATAGCAAATTGTTGACCAAATTGTATGGTCAACCGGGCAAAAAAGTGGTTCTCCCCTTTATTGCCTGATATTGAGAAGGATTTAGGAGGTGGTTATGGGCTGAGTACTAGAAAGTAGACTCACGATAACTCCTCTGATTGTTCCTGACTCTCCTTTGAGGAGGAGGGGGGATGTTCCTCACCAGCTTTGCAGTCAGCTTCAGGTCTGTCCTATTGTAACAATTAGTCATCATATTCATCCTGGTACAATTTGATATCCATATGGAAAAAAATTAACCTTGAAATTTACAACATTCACAAAATTGATTTAAAAAACAGCTAAAGCTATAAAACTTTTAGAAGGCAAGATAAAATAAAATCATCAAGATTTTGATGGTAGGAAAATGATCCTTAGGATACAGAAACATAGACTGTATGAAATTTAGTTGAATTTCATCATTAAATAAAACACATTGTTAAGAAAATGAAAACCAATCCCTCAAGTGGAAAAATATTTATGATACATATATCCAAAGATTCATATCCAGAATATGTAAAGAACTACTCATCTCATTAGTTAAAAAGACAAGAATCCAATTTAAAATGGACAAATGATTTGAATAAGCACTTCACAAAAGAAGGTATGCGAACTGTCACTAAGCACATTAAAAGATGCTCAGTATCATTACTACCAGGAAAATGCAAATTAAAATCACAATGAAATACTACTGTGCACAAGTATTAGTTATGATGTGCAGCAATTAAAACTCTTACACACTGCTGGATAGGATGTAAAATAGCACAAGCACTCTAGAAAGTACTCTGGTAGTTTTCTTAGACGCTTAACCATTTAACTCAGCAGTTCCATTCCTTGGTATTTACCCAGGAGAGATGCAAACATATGTCTTTGCAAAGACTTTTATGTGAATGTTCATAGCAGATTTATTTATTTTTTTTAATTTTATTCTTATGTTAATCCCCATACATTACATCATTAGTTTTAGATGAAGTGTTCCATGATTCATTGTTTGTGCACAACACCCAGTGCTCCATGCAGAATGTGCCCTCCTCAATACCCACCACCAGGTTAACCCATCCTCCCACCCCCCTCCCCTCTAGAACCCTCAGTTTGTTTTTCAGAGTCTACCGTCTCTCATGGTTCGTCTACCCCTCCGATTTCCCCCGCTTCATTCTTCCCCTCCCGCTACCTTCTTCTTCTTCATTTTTTTTTTTCTTAACATATATTGCATTATTTGTTTCAGAGGTACAGATCTGAGATTCATTCATAATAGTCCCAAACTAGAAACTCAAAAGTCCATTGAGGGGTGAATGGATAAACAAGTTGCAGTTATCCACAGAAGGAAATACTTGTCAAAAAATAAAAAGGAATGGACTTCTGATAGATGGAAAAACACAGTGGAGTCTCCAGAATGTTATGTGAATGTAAAAAAGCAAGAACTAAGAGAAGGGCACATTCTATATGGTTTTACTTGTATAAAATTCTTGAATAAGTATAATGAATTACAGTGGAAGAAAGCAGATCATTGATTGTCTGGGGCTGCAACTGGGGGGCAATAACTGCAAAGTGGCACAAGGCAAATTTTAGGATGATGGCTCTTCTTGATTGTGATGGTGATTATATGAGAGATATATTTGTCAAAGCTCATCAAGCTGTAAGCTTAAAATGGGTGCATTTCAGTATAAATAAATAATACTTTAATAAAGTTGATTTAAAAAGAAATGACCCAGAGGCAACATTAAAATAGTTCCGACTGGCAAACGTTGACAGTGTAAGCATCAAAAGGAGAATGATGGCTATGGATCCTTAAAATACAACAAATGTGTAAAAAGGCATCATTCCATAATTACATGCATGTGCACACACACACACACACATCAAAGACCAGAATTTAATTCTATTTTTTCTCTCTTTTTTTTGAAAGATTTAATTTATTTGAGAGAGAGAGAGTGAGCACGAGCAGGGGGTGGGCAGAGGGGCTGAGGGAGAGAGAGAGAATGCAGACTCTCCGCTGAGCAAGGAGCCCAACACTGGGCTCAATCCCACAACCCTGAGATCATGACCTGAGCCAAAATCAAGAGTTGGACACTTAACCGACTGAGCTACCCAGGCGCCCCTAATTCTATTTTCATAAACATCTTTTCTGTGAGTAGTAACTGTTCTGAAACTAGAAATCCTAAGACAGGATTGCACTTTTAGATCTCAGGCTTGCTTGGTTTTGAATTACTAATTTAAGAAATATTTTTGTAATATTTTCTAAGAAAAACTTGGATGGAATTTTGAAAACCCAAATTACAGTAGGCACTTGTCTTGAGAATGCCTTGAGAATGTACTTTGTAGATTTCCAACTACGGGGACATTGACTGACATATGCCCCAGCTGTCACACTCTGAAATGCACTGCTTCATTTGTACTGAAGCCATGATTCCCATAGGCTGCTCCTAGTTAATGACTGATTGCAGCAGACCTACTAAGGCAGCTTGCTCCTGAGAGCCATAGGTCTTTTTCCAGAAGGCCAATTTTGGCTCAAGAACACCCCAGTGGCCTTGATGAACTTTCGTTAGACTTCATGGAGGTCAAAAACACTGTCACCTAACTTGCCTTCCTTTCTCTCCTTTACTAGGAGTCAGATTTGCATCACAGTTGGATGAATCTCCAATCCTATCCCAGCTCCCTCCCCATTTTTCTTCATAGGCCTTCACCTCAATACAATCCTTGCAAATTTCATATCATTTTGATGTTGATTTCTTGGAGAACCTGAACAACTACATAGTCTAATATTTGATTATCTTTCAGAGCAATAGAGGTCCACTGATGGCTTTTACGCTTTTATATTTATACCTATTAAATTCCGTCTTGTTGGTTTAAGGTCCATTATTCCAACACATTAAAATATTTGTGAATCACAATTCTATAATCTTTTACTATATTTCCCAGCTTTGTAACATCAAAGATTGGTGAGTATTTATATGTCTTTTTCAAGTTGTGATTAGAAATATTAAACTGGAATAGCCAAATGACAGATCTTTTTGATCATGTGATCAAAATCTATAATAGGCTTGATAGTACAGAGAAGTCCATGTTCTCATAAATTGAATAAATATTAGAGAATTATAGGAATTGTAAATTATATGTAGCTAGAGGGTGGATAGCACCCTTACAATCAAATTGTACACCTCCTCCTACAATATTTTGCACACGTGTTTATAATCACAGTTTGCTTTAGAAACAAGCTGTATAGTTCTTTTGCTCTGATATTAGAGTGGGAACCACAGCACAAAAATTTCAGCTCTCAAAACATCAAGACGTATCTTCTAAATGAAATAACTTATAAAAGCAATGTAATTGGATTCCCTTAAATAGGGATTTGTTGGTTTGCCACATTACATATTGTGATAGTTCAAAAAAAAAAAATACTTGGTTATAATAATGGCAAATTTCATTTGTGTGTAGACTTAGGAATGATTATGTGGGAGTTATGGATTTTCCAAACTAATTGTTTCAAAAATATTTTGGGTGAAGGCCAACGGAATGCCTGGTAAGTAAGCAAGAGAATAAATTACTCTAAAAATTCTTTTTCATCATGGATATCCATGCTAATATTAAAAATAATTTTGGCACTACATACTTAAGGGAGACTTAAGAGGTAGTATATACTTCTTGCATTAGCTCATAGAATTCAGGGGTTTTTTGATAAGAAATCAAATAGGCCAGAAATAGATATTTCATGATAAATATTGTGATTAATAAGAGGATGAACCTAGACATGACTTCAAATATGTGCCCCAACATGACACCATTAGAGAGCACTATCACTGTATGAATAGTCGTCTTGCCTAAGGTTGTTATCTCTTAATAAATCTTTGGTCCAACTGGGTACCAAACTACAGGATAAAGACTATTATTTTCTACTCTATACTTTTAGAACTCATGAACATAGACAGTATTTCATAAAGGGAACCAAAACACCATTAACCTTCATTTACTATAAGGAAAGGAAATCGTACCAGCTCAGTGGTTCAATTTTCCCCATAAATCTTGGTTAAAACTTTTATCCTTTTTTTCCCTTGGATTCTTCTATTACTCTAAGTGCTATTAATAGGAACATTCTATTACACGTTTCTCTTTAGACCTCTTGAACATAAGCAAACTTTCATCTTTAATGAGTTTGACAGCTAGTGTTATTGATGATCAGTAATATGCAAAGAAGCTGATGATCATTGGTTTTTTGTAACTGAAATAAATAATAATGAGATATGTTTTTCATAGATAGTGGGAAAAATGTCTCAATGGCCACTGGAATACAGATAAAGGAGCTATGGTACTATAAAGGACATCTTGAAAAGAAGCAGATTCAAAGAGAACAAAGAAGGAACTGGATTATCTGCTGACATAAATCTTTTCTTAACTATATTATATCCTACTGAAGTCTTTTTTTTTTAAGGCAAGAGTCCAAAAAGGATGTGTTTTGCCACAAACAAGGAAGATCAAAGTAACATGCTGTTCTGTTATTCAACTTAAAAAGAGAGCGCGATATTAACAGAAGAAATCACGGACCATAAGCAGAAATGGTATAATGATCTTATACAGGAGTGAGTATTTCTGATGTTTACAATGCATGAGTAGTGACTTGGGACTAGGTAGTGATCCGGAGAGAGAATCTAAGATATGTCCCTTAAGCTACCTAAAGGCATGACTAAGAACAAGTCACTCTAAACAGTAAAGTAAGACCTAGAGCTAGGAAAACACCAAACGTGGGCACCGAGTTAGAATTGGACATTTTGTGAAATAACAAAGCATGTTCTCTCACCAGACAGAAATGTGAGAAGGAAATGTCACACCCTGCTGAGGGGAGGGAATATGTCAAAATCACCTCTGGGACTTTTTCAAGTTACATTTGCCTCAAAGAAGTTGTGACAACTCCTCCCGACCCCACCACCACTGCATACAATCCTACCTCCTCCTTAAGCATTAGTACCCATATGAGCCACTGTTACTGACAAGTGGGTTATCATATCACTTGGGTCGCGTAGGGCAGAAAGTAAGCTGAGAACCACCATCTCAGTGAGTTTACTTCTGGTCATACTTTGTGTGACCATTCATGTTGTGGGGAGGGCTCCCAGCTCTGCCTGGAAGAGAGAAGACTGTGAATATGCAGAAGACAGTCCCACCTCTTCATCAAACCTCCTCATTCTCCACATGCAAGGGTGCTCATGCAGCAAATACTCATTGTGTTCACACTGCTCAGAATACTACCATAGAGGCCAGAGAAGACACAATCTCTGCTCTGAGAATTGTTGAAAGCTCTGTAATTTCCACATCCTGGTACTTATCTAAATATGGTCCTCCTTGTAAGGCATTTGCTGGCAGACTGACCTGGGTTTAACTCAATGGATTTAGAAATTTAATATAAGTGTTGTTAAGTAATTTGACAGCCTTCCAGTCCCATAGTTTTGTGTGCATAACAAATATTTTGAATGAATGATAAATACAGAGATGTGGGCTATGCTTTCAACTAGGTTGATAAACAATAGTTCTCATTATTCATGGTAGTTATGTCCCATAAAGTAACACTGAATTAGTGAATACTGAGCCCCTGCTTCTAGAGAAAATATGAGGTTAAGTTCTTGTCAGCCTCTGGTCAGAACATTTTCACCAACCAATCAATACATAATCTTTTTTGCATGTGTTTTCTATTTAAAGACATCTTATTTAATCTATATTGTTGATCCATTAACTTGAACTCATAGCTCACAGCACTAACCCTCATGATTGAGTGAGCTTATCTAACACACATATTTTCTCTGAAAGGCACATCACAGCCTTCTTGCACTTAGAAACACTAGGCAGCACTTTGGCACTACACATAATAGCCATTTTAAACATTAAAATCAGCAATTAAAACACAAATATGTGAAAACACGGTACTAAATAGACCATGAAAAGGAAGGACACTCGTTTACAGAAAAAGAGCTGAAACAAGAGAGTAGAACCTCTTGTTCAACCTCAGTTGGGGATATGTATCCTTGCTCTGTGCATGTCCATGAGTGACCACAAAAGTGTCTCAAGTATTAACTTTTGGGGGCAGCACATAAGTGAAATCACAAGTATTGAATCCATGAATAATGAGCATCAACCGTACATATGAATCACTTGAAGGAAATCATGGCAATCAAGCTGAATGAAGGCAATGTTGTACTAGCTTATTCTCTGAGACCACAGCTCAGAATATGGGTTCCCGTGTAATTTGAGCCAGTTACAACCATTCTCTACAACACCTACGGAATAACTTCTTACATTCTGGCTACAAAGGCCAAAGATGCCTGGTCTTTGAATCTGCTTATTCTAACTCAGATGAGCAGTGGGCTGTTCTCCATCACCCAGGCCTCCTTCCAGTTTGCTGGTAAGTCCTGTTACCATGCTCCCTTCCTATTGAGGCTATGTTCATGGTCACTCTCTCCCCGTCACAGAGAAGCCCGAGAGTTCTGTGATGCAGTTGGTGGCTAACTGTCAGGGGTAAAAAAGGCTCAAGCACCACGAGGATAGGACGCCAACAGAAATGGAACACATGCCCAGTACTGCCTGGGCTTTTTGCACTTTTGCTTTTGTTTTTATTTTGTCATCTCTCCCTATTGTGAGAGCATTTTTCTAAGCAAAGTGGGTAGAAAGAGTTTAATCATAATTGTGGAAAAATACTATTTAAATGTGTCATTTCAGGTGGAAATTATGATCTTTGTAGTGGCAGGTATTTTTATTTTTATTTTATTTTTTATTTTATTTTAAATTTTTTATTGTTATGTTAATCCCCACACATTACATCATTAGTTTTTGATGTAGTGTTCCATGATTCATTGTTTGTGCATAACACCCAGTGCTCCATGCAGAACGTGCCCTCTTTAATACCCATCACCAGGCTAACCCATCCTCCCCCACCTCCCCTCTAGAACCCTCAGTTTGTTTTTCAGAGTCCATCGTCTCTCATGGTTCGTCTACCCCTCCGATTTCCCCCCCTTCATTCTTCCCCTCCTGCTATCTTCTTTTTTTTTTTTTTCTTAACATAGATTGCATTATTTGTTTCATAGGTACAGATCTGAGATTCAACAGTCTTGCACAATTCACAGCGCTTTGGGGGTGGAGGGATGGGCTGACTGGGTGACAGACACTGGGGAGGGTATGTGCTCTGGCAGGTATTTTTAAAAGCATACAAACTACATATATTCCCCGGAGGGTCTTTAGCATCTTTATCTCTGAGCTTAAGTGAGCCTTGTTATTTCTCCACTAGGGCCCAAGGTGCAGCCAGGAGCTTCTTGGGACTGCTTGCATCTGGAGGTTGCTGGAACATTGCCTCAACTGCCTGGATGGCAGGTGGCAGTTCTTCTTGCAAAGTCATGGGAGAAAGTCATCAAATCTACAATAAAGTAAATACCCCTTAATCTTACTCTATTCTCACAAAATTTACATTATTATTTTTTTATTTAAAAATTTTAATTGTGGCAAATTATATATAACACAAAATTTACCATCTTAACTATTTCTAAGTGTAAGTTCAGTACTGTTAAGTATATTCATATTGTTGTGCAACCAATATGATGAGGAGAAACACAAAATGGGAGGGGATCACATAGCCGTGAGCAGATCATTTATCTCCAGGAAATAGGCTGAATTTTTAAGTTTAAAAAGAGCACAAAATCAACTTCATTCCAAGGGCATGTGTGGTCCTATCTTTGTCTAAGATTTTAACTACTTTAAAGAAATAGGTAGAAGTAGCCCAAGTATCCATTGGCAGGCAAATGGATAATCACAATGTGGTATATACATTCAGCTTTAAAAATGAAGGAAGTTGCGAGACACATGTTAGAATATGGATGAAACTTGGGGACGTTATGTCAAGTGAAATAAGCCAGAAACAAAAAGACAAACACTGTATGATTCCACTCATATGAGATACCAAGAGTAGTCAAATTCATAGCAACAAAAAGTAGAATGGTGGTTGCCAGGGGCTGGGAAGGAATGAAAAAGGAGAGCTGTTGCTTAATGGGTACAGAGTTTTCCAAGTTGAAATATTTCTAGAGATTGGTCGTGCAATAATATGAGGGCACAGAGATGTCAAGTAACTTACTCAAGGTCACCTAGCAGGTATGGCATGGAACCACGGTGCAAATTCAAACAGTGTGGTGCCAGAATCTTAACCATTATACCATGAGTGAAAGAATAAAGAGGACGACCCTTGAATTACAAAATGAGAGCAAAGAGGTTGCAAGTTTTCTCCTTCCCATTATGCATCACAATGGTCTTGTTCAGTGAATTATAGATTCTATGGGGCAGAGGACGGAATAAGCAAATTTTTCTATTGCCTTTTCTCCTCTGTTGGCGGACAAAAGCCCTGGCACACGAAGTTATGTTTTTCTCCACTCTGAGTATCAGAGCTTGGGCAGTGGAAGTAAGCAGAGTACCTGCCTAACTAAATACTGTCAAATTTGTTTGAGAACATGGCAGGTCACACTAACATCCTTCTGGGAATAAGATTTAGTCATTTCTATTTACCAGTCTTAACTGGAAGTTCAAATACCTTACAAAGAAAGGGAGACACTCCATAATTTCAGCTTCCCTTTATGTTATACACAAATGTCAACCCTGAGCCATAGTTTTCCCCAGCACATCTTCCTTATAGTTTAATTTTTCCCCATTTTTCTCATTTAGTGTCCTCTTTTTTCTGTCTTCACTGCTCTGTGTCCTTCACCATGTAGTGTATATTTGATACAGCATCTCAAAATTCCTCTAATGCCACTTCAGTTGAACTTGAAAAATACTGAGGTGATTACTAATTTATTGTTGTCTTCTCCTAAGTGCTTAATGCAAGCTTAATAAAAATCAATAGCTATTTATGCCTCTCCATTGTAGGAATATGCTTGTGATATATGACTAGGTGAGGCAGTTGTCGGGTGATTTATTGGAAGTCTCCTAAGATAATCTACTACCTCCATTTTATTGGTGTCATGGAAGATGTTAATGGTCAAATAAATAGAATAAGTAGAATAAGTAGGGAGCAGATGGAGAAGAGCAGGTGCTATACAACCTCTTCTTCAAAAGTCATGTTGAGAGCAAAGAGGCTAATATGTAGAATGGGGACATCTTGCCTGATCTGAATAACATCTCAAGAGAATTAGAATTAGGATGCTAAATGCATTTCCAACCAAAAGGCCAAGGTTACAAACTTTTGCAGCCATCAGGCTTTATCTCCTACTCCCAAAATCACTTATTTCTGTTAACAAAGAAGGACTTGTCACCTGCAGCACCCACCCAGAATGCTTGGCTTCCTACCTTCTCTGTGTTGGAGAAGAGCCTTACCTTACAAAAGGGGACCCCTTGTGAGAGTTGGTTAAAACCAACTGCCTACATTAAAATAGAACTAGACTCGGGACGCCTGGGTGGCTCAGTTGGTTAAGCGACTGCCTTCGGCTCAGGTCATGATCCTGGAGTCCCGGGATCGAGTCCCGCATCGGGGTCTCTGCTCGGCGGGGAGTCTGCTTCTCCCTCTGACCCTCCCCCCTCTCATGCTCTATCTCATTCTCTCTCTCAAATAAATAAATAAAAAGAAAAAAAAAATAGAACTAGACTCTTTCAACAAAATAATTTCAACTTTGTCTTTTCAAGTATCCTCACAGTGTGGTAAAATGCAGTCATGAACTGCCCTGCGTGCTCATCCTTTTCTAGATCCACACAAAACACTTCAGTCCTCTGGCAGAGAGCCTCCATAGTCTGTGCTCAATATGGGACAGTGCAGGAGGTGATAACTTCCAACCCCAACCCAAAACATCAGCAGGACATTGTGTCACCAGCTCGAGGAAGAATGTGGTTCATTTTCTTCACAACTTCTAGAAATTTGACATTTCTTCCTAACCATGCCTCCCCCAATCCAGCTGCTCTGAGTATCAAAATCGTCTCAAATGTGTTTAGTGTTTAACAAAGTTTTTTTTTAATTTTTATTGTTATGTTAATCCCCATACATTACATCATTAGTTTTAGATGTAGTGTTCCATGATTCATTAACAAAGTTTTTAAAAAGAGAAGCTCTTTAATTTGCTAGTCCTACCTCTACAATATCTTTGGCTCCATCTATTTCATGGTAATATCTCTGACTTGAAATATTTGAATTCCTCTGAATATTGGAACAAAGCAAGATGCAAGATTTATTATATCATTGGTATAACATTAGAATTTATTAGAAATAACATATGTTAATTAACAATCACAGCTTTTTAATTACCTTTAGAAAATTCCCTAACAGAGCTAGTTTCCGTCAGTGGAAATAGGAACCATTCTCCAGAATAAAAGGCATAAATATGACAGATAGCAAGCAAACAAAGACTGTTTCTACCCCCCTTGGTATATTTCTCCCCCTTTCCTTTCTTATTTGCCAGAAGTGGACTGATCACTTGAGATTCCATGCTTTTAACTGGGATTTAAGCTCTTGTCCACTCTCCAGAGACACCCACCCTCCTCAAATGTATTTCTGCTGTTGACTTCTGTTTGATCCTTCTAAGGCCTGGGCATCCTGGCAGGTTGCTCCACTGTGCACTTCAGCAATGTCTAGGTTGATGTTTTGCAAGAGCACAGCGAAGGTGGGAAGAGTCTCCCAATCAGAAACAAGCTAACAGAGTTCTTGACTTTAGCAGGCATAGAAAGAAATAGATTTCTTTGGAAAGAATATTTTTTAAAAATAAAGAAGTACTGTATGAGTGTCTGATAAAGAATCATCATTTTGATCATTCTCTTTATTCTTTACTCAGTTTATTTTTTAAACCAGCCTCATTGATGCTTTGAAACTCCTTGGTTCAATTTTGCATTTTGCATTGTTGTAGGTGTCTTACAGAGCAATTGGCAAATGGTTGAGGTCATTCCATGGGCCCCTGTATGCCTGAAGACGCCACCTGTATGGTCAGCTTCACTTCAGAATCTTCAGGCTTCACTAGAAGAACAGATGCATACATCCAACATTTGATTCTCAGCAAAATTTTGTCACCAAATGATAATACCCTTCATGCAGTTTTGTAAGTACAGAGACTCATTGGAGGTCATCTGAGGACTCTGAAAATCTTTGGAAAAAATCTCCAATGGGAGAGGGTAACAATGAGGATAATAATGAAGGCCAAGGATCAACAGATATGTTTCTTCTGCTAGGCTTCCAATGGGCAAGTGAGCTTTACCAATGGATCCTGAAGAAATAACTTCATCACAAGGCTTAATTCTGAATTTCTAAGCACACACTCGTTTTCCTAAAGGATCGTTCCCTTTGGGAATGCTGACTGAAAGTAGAAGTCTGGAAAAATCTGCACTAAACCCAACATTCAAGTACTTCCCCATTAAGCATAAAGGGGAAATTGAGCAAGAGCACTGAAGGAGGCAGGCAAACTGGCTTCTTGGCCTACCACGAATCACTCATGCGTGATGGTTAAGTCTGAGCATCTAGTCAGGGTTTCCATTTCCTCCCTCATAGGGTGAAAAGGTTGGACTAATTATCTCTAATCTATTTTCCACCTTTAGTATTCTTTGAATCTAAATGATAATGATGATCAATGAAACTAATTATTTTTCTGAGGCTATCAATTATACATTTGGATCTCTAAGAAGGAAATAGAGAAAGGCACATTACAGATCTTGTTTTTTGACACTATTTTCTTGATTTCCTACAATTGCTCTGGTACAGTATGTTCAATTAATAATTTTATTTACTATAATTAGAATTTCTAATATATCATAAAATCCACAGGCAAACATTACACTAAGAATGTTCCTACATGAAACAAAAACCACTAGTTTATTAAGTAAAACAAATTATATGGCACTGTGTAAAATAAAACCAACAAGCCTACAGTTTGATTTTCCCATTTATGTGGAAGCTTATAGAAATAATACTGGAGTACTGTAATACAAATTAGAATCATAATATTTAATATTAAAAAACAATATTCTAACATTCTCTCTTAATAGATTAGATAATCTATAGAGAGGGTGCATCTGATTGGTTTTGACCATGCAGAACTCTCTACACACAAATCTATGACAACAAATTTGAAAATGTTCAAGAATGAATGATTTATTAAGAAAATGAAAATTGCCAAATGACCCACAACAAAAGAAAAGTTAAACAGAACATTTGCTATAAAACAGAAGGAAAAGGTGAGTGAATATCCCTCAAGTTCTGGTTAATTATAAAACAAGATCATTGCAATGGTATTTAAATTAAGTTTTATCATGAAAAAGTTAGAAATAACCCTAATTTATATTATATAATCAGGATAACTTTATACTAAAGATAGCTCAATATATAGAAAATTGGAATTAATCCCAATTATGATACGTACAAGATTCTGAAATTAAAAAATTAGCAAATATCCAGCAATATAAGGGGCGCCCGGGTGGCTCAGTTGGTTAAGTGACTGCCTTCAGCTCAGGTCATGATCCTGGAGTCCCGGGATCGAGTCCCACAGAGGGCTTCCTGCTCAGCAGGGAGTCTCCTTCTCCCTCTGACCCTCCTCCCTCTCATGCTCTCTGTCTCTCATTCTCTCTCTCTCAAATAAATAAAATCTTAAAAAAAAAATCCAGCAATATATTAAAATAGTAATACCCTACATTAAAAAAAAAAAAGAAAACAAAGGAAAGCATATAAAAACAAGAAGAAAACATGAGTGAATTACATTATAACCTAGGTGTGGGGAAAGTTACCTTCCTACCTTTGACTCAAGTCCAGGGGCAATATGAAAAGATTGATAAATTCAACCCAAAGAAAGCAAAATATCACAAATAAAACAAACCTCTGTATAGCAAAACTGTAGAAGCAAAGGTAAAAGACCAATGACAAACCAGGAGAAAATATTGGCAATGTGTATAAAGGCTAATATTCCCAAATATGTATAAAACTTTCAAAATTTGAGGGTAGAAAAAGATAAACAAATGACAGGAAAATGGGCAAAGCACATGAACAACAATTCACACACAAAACACAAAACGGCCATTATACATATGACAGGATGCTCATCTTCACTCATAATAAGAGAAATCTAAATTTAAAGTATACTAAAATATCATTTTAACCTACCAAACTGGCAAAATTAAAAGCCTGATATTATATTAAATGGTGAGGCTAAGGGAAACAAGCACTTTGATATATTGCTGGTGTGACTGCAAACAGATGTAAGCTTTTTGGCCAAGCAATCACACTTCTAGAATTCATCCTTTACATATCCTTGCAATATGAAAATACAAATGTGTAAGATTATGCTTTTCAGCATTATTTGTATTTGCAAAATGTTGGAAACTATCTAAAGGCTCAGACATAGGAGACAGGTTGGTAAAACCATGGTCCATGCATACGAGGGAGTGCAATGCAACTATTTAAAAAAATAAAGAATCTTCTTTAATTGATAAGGAGTATTCCCCAGGATATACTGTTAAGTGATACAAGAAAAATGCAAAAAAGAATAAACAGAAGGCTAACTTCTGTGGGAAAAAAAGAAGAAATAAGAAAGTATACATGTATTTGCTTAGGTTATCAAAAACAAAAAATGAGTTAACCAGAGTGTAAATGATAAAGTAAATGGGGCAAAATGTCTTAAAAATGATAAAATGTTAAAAATTGGTTAAGTTTGGGTAATGGTTATATAGGTAAATTGAGTCAAAGAGCATACAGGGTTTTTTTGGAGTATTTTTACAAATTTCTTGTAAGCTGGAAATTATTTCAAAAAGAATGTTAATATTAACATAATAATCATAATATACTATGACCAGTGAAATCACTTCTAGGAATGCAGGAATGATTTGAACTAAAAAAAAAAAGAAATAAATACTTTAATACACATGAAAAGGTCATTTCATTAAATAAGATTATGCAGCCATTACATAAAAATTCTAAGTAAAATAATGGTAATAAAAATAATTAAAATTTGATAAAAACTATCAAAACTTAACAGGAAATTCATTCAAAAAATGAAACACATTTAAGCCATTTCAGTCAAATCAGGATATAGTCAGGGATTTCTGCTATCAGAAATTGCAATTAAGACAGAAAAATAAAATAGTATAAATATTAGGGAGAAAGATAAAATTAGTTATTTTCCCGCAAGATACTAATTACTGTAGGTTTTATTTGCCTGAAAGAGTGAAAGATTTTAGTTTCAATAAACCAAATGGACTGAAGATTTTAGGTTTAATTGAACCAAACCAGGCCCTACTCAGAGCAAGTAGTTACTGGATAAAAAAGAACAGATACTCAGAGAAAACATTTGCAAAGTGGACATATCATGCTGTTGATTATGATAATAATAAGCCTGATAGAAGAAATTGTAAACATTTCCAACTATATAAAAATTATAAAAAATCATATGCAAAATTAAAAGAATCATATTAAAAAATCAGAAGCGGGGTCAATAGACAATTTATATATTTGAAAAAAATGATTTATAAGGCAGATGACACATAAAGGGTCTATAACTTCAGAGTTCTTACAAATTGATGGTTAAAAAAGACTAATAACCCAATGGGAGAAAAGCATAATAGCTATGATGGGAGAAATAACAGAGAACTGATTTTAAATAGTCAATAAATACATGAAAATATGGAATAAAGACAACATAAAGTAAGATATCACTTTGTGCTTCTATTACTGGAAAAAATACAATAAGGTCAATAATGACTATTGTTAATAGAAATGTGGGAGAAAGGGTTTATAAATATATTGCTGGTGGAAAGGTGAACTGATAAAGTGATGTGGTAATAGCTACTATAATTTAAAATACACATCCTACGACCTCACTCCTTGGAATCTATACCTTAGAAATAAATACAGTAATATGTTAGGATACAGGTACTAATATAAAAATTGCAGTATTTTCTTAGTGGCAATATTCACCAGTAGGGGAATAGCTGAACTGTGGCACATTCACAACAGGGAATACTGTACAGAATGTAAAATGAAAGAAAGAAAGAAAGAAAACTGCTTCCTGCAAGAGAGAGTAGATACACATTCCCTAATTTATCCTGCTAAATACAACTGATAACTCTGGACATTATATATAAAACAAATACAAGCAGCTTCTGAAAGGCAGAAGGAAGACCAGCTAAGGACCTCAGGACCTAAATGTAGTTAATTCCCTGGGGTTTTCTTTATGCCTCACTTTTCCCAGACTGCTGGAAAAGCTGGTAACCTGGAAACACCATTGGGTGCAGACCAAAAAAGGCCCAACAAAAGCCAGCTCTCTCTAGCCAAAGAAGCATGAAAGGGAGAGCCTAGTTAGACAGGAAATTTTAGAAAATAATTACTCTACTGCAGCCAAACAGCACAGGAAAAAACAAAACAAAACAAAACTGTGTCCCCTCCACCCCCCAAATCAGCAAAGGCTAAACAAGGACACCTACCCTCACCAGACTTTAATAAGGTACCCAACACTCCCTGCCAGGGATGGTGTCAGAAGAGGCAGAGTAGGTAGGGAGTTTAGATTTTCATCATCACTTGTCAGTAATAATGTGCCTTGTGTCTCTTCCCCTCCCCACAGGGTGGTGTTGGAAGAGACCCAGAGGAGAGTAGGCACTTTTACTACTGCCCATTGGTAAGGAGGGTACTCACATGCCATGGTGTTAGTAGAGGCTAGCTGGGAGCAGTAGCAAAGCATTCTTACCACTCCCAGCCAGGAATGGATTAGTAGAGGCCTAGTGGAGAGCCAGAACTTCTATCCTTATCCAGAAATAATAAGGAGCCACCTCTCAACCCCACCCCCAGGTGTCAATGAAGGCCAAATGAAGAATCTGGATTTCTATGCCCACTAAGCTATAACAAGGTGCCCCCCACCTTTCCTAGTTTGAGCAGTGTCTGAAGAAGCCAGCTAAAACAGAGGGTTTAAATAAGATGCAGAGTTTCATAATTTAATACCCCAAATGTCCATATTTTGACTGAAATTCACTTGTCATACCAAGATCCAGGAAGATCTCACACTGAGTGAGAGACAATCAACAGATGCCAACAATGAGATGACAGAAAGAATTATTTTACAAAGATTTTAAAGCAGTTACTATAAAAATGCTTCAAAAAGGAATTACAAATAAGCTTAAAACAAATAGAATATAGAGAACTTCAACAAAGGGATAGAAACTCTCCACAAAGAAATAGTATGAGGGTTGCTGGAGTGGTGGGGGGTGGGAGGGATGGGGTGGCTGGGTGATAGACATTGGGGAGGGTATATGCTATGGTGAGTGCTGTGCATTGTGCAAGACTGTTGAATCACAGATCTGTACCTCTGAAACAAATAATATATGTTAAAAAAAAAAAAAAAGAAGATGGCAGGACGGGAAGAATGAAGGGGGGGAATCGGAGGGGGAGATGAACCATGAGAGACGATGGACTCTGAAAAACAAACTGAGGGTTCTAGAGGGGAGGGGAGTGGGAGGATGGGTTAGCCTGGTGATGGGTATTAAAGAGGGCACGTTCTGCACGGAGCACTAGGTGTTATAGGCAAACAATGAATCATGGAACACTACATCAAAAACTAATGATGTAATGTATGGTGATTAACATAAAAATAAAAAAAAAAGAAATAGTATAATGTAGAGCCAAATGTAAATTTTAGAACTGACGAACACAACAACTGAAATAGAAAACTAAATAGATGGACTTTACAGTAGGGTGGAGTGGACTGAGGAAAAGAAACTGTAGTGAACACTACGTGAATGGCAAAACAGAAAAATAACAATTATCCATCTAAAAACAGAGAGAATATTACTTAAAAAAAAAAAAGCCTCAGGGATCTCTAAACAAAAGCTTCAAGGGCCACCTGGGTGGCTCAGTCAGTTGGGTGTCTGCCTTCTACTCAGGTCATGATTTCAGGGTCTCAGGATCGAGCCCTACATGGGGCTCCCTGCTCAGCAGGGAGTCTGCTTCTCCCTCTCTCTCTGTTCCTCCCCCCATGCTAGTGCTCTCTCTCTCTCTCAAATAAATAAATAAATCTTAAAAAAAGAAAAAGCTCCAACATCAGAGTCCTGGAAGGATAGAAGAAAGAGGGTAGAATTGAAAAAATACTAAAAAAAAAAAAAATTGCTGAAAACCCCCCAAATTTGGAAGACATAAATCTATAGGTTCAAGAAGCTAAGTAAACCCCAAAATCAAAGAAATCTATACCAAGAGTGAAAACTAAAAGAGAAGAACAAAATCTAAAAATTCAAGACAAAACAAAAATCTTGAAAGCAGTGAAAAAAGAAGAAAGGACTTCTTATCTTAGGGAAACAGCAATTCAAATGACATCTTATTTCCCATTAGAAATCATGGAGTCCAGAAAAAAAATGACATCACATTTTTTAAGTGTGGAAAAAAAAAAACTGTCAACCTAGAATCCTATATCCAGTATAAGTATTCCTCAGAAATGAAGAGAAATCAAGACATTTTCAAACAAAGGAGAAGTAAGAGAACTTGTTGCTGGCAGACGTACCCGAAAACAATAGCTAAAGGAAGTTCTCTAAACAAAAGCAAAACAATAAAAGAAGGAAGGAAGAACATGGTAAGCAAAAATAAGGGTAATTACAATAGGCTTTCCTTCTCTTCTTAAATCTTCTCAATTATATTGATAGTTGAAGCAAAAATTGTGCCACTGTCCGATGTGGTTGCAAATGTATATTGAGAGAATATTTAAGACAATTATATTTCAAATGGGGGAGAGTAAAGGGATGCATTGGGAGGTAAGTATTTTATGATTTATTTGAACCAGTAAAATAACACCAGCAAACTGTGAGAAGTTATGTATAGGTGATATAGTAACTAAAGCAATGATTAAAAAGGCTATCCAAGAAGATACACTCAAAAACACTAAGATAAAAATAAAATTCTAAAATTGTTTAAGTAACACATAATAAGGCAGGAAAAAGAAAATAGAAATGAAAAACACAGAAGTTAGAAAACAAAATTTAAAATGGCACAATTAAGACCTAACACATTAATAGTTATATTAAATGTAAATGGTCTAAGTGTATCAATTAAAAGACAGAAATTGGCAGAATTAAGTGGCAGAAACTCACTTCAAATATGACATGAGCAATTTGAAAATAAAAGAATAAAAAAGATATATTATGCAAACATTAATCAAAAAAGCAGGAGTAGCCATATTAATATCAAATAAAATATGATACAGTGTAAAGAAAACTACCAGAGAGAGAGGGACATTAAATGGATATAAAAGAGTAAATTCACCAATCAGTGTAGTAATCCTAAACAAGTATGTGCCAACAAACAGAGCTTCAAAATATGTGAAGCAAACTCTAATAGAACTGAAAGGAGAAATAAATGTGTAATTATAGCTGGAGACTTTAACACCTCTTTCCCAACAATTGATAGAACAACTGTATAGAAAATCAGAAAGGGTATGGAATCACTCAATGACAGCATCGACTAATATGGTACAATCAACATTTCACCCAAATAGCAACAGAAAACATATTCTTTTCAAGTGCTCATATGACATATACCAAGAGAGATCATAGCCTGCACCATAAAACAAGCCTCAACAAATTTTTAACAATTGAAATAATACAGAATATGTTCTCTGATCACAATGAAATCAAACTAAAAATCAATAGCAGACAGTAAACAGAAATTTTCAAATACTTGGAAACTAAACAATACACTTGTAAACAATCCATGGGTCAAAGAGGAAGTCTCAAGGGAAAGAAAACTGCATTAACTAAATGAAAATGATAATACAATGTATCAAAATTTGGGGGACACAGCTAATGGTGAGGGGCTGTATATTTGTAGCATTACATGTATATTACAGAAGAGGAACTATCTCAAGTCAGTAATCTAAGATCATATCTCTGAATCTGGAAAAAATGGGGCAAAATCAACCCAAAG